CTGGGGAGATGAAGGCGGTCGGGCGTGGGACTGGCAATCCAACCCCTCGCCAACACCACTTTCCCCAACAGTCTGTTAAGTCTATATGATGCATATTTGCCCACAAAATTCAAATCTCACGAAAATATATCTTTGTATAGGATGCATCTCGGTGCGTGTCTCGATGTCTCTCTGCACGTGGCTCGCTGAGACAACTCTGCCCAACCCAACACCACTCCAGCTCATACTTCACCCCGTGGCAATGCCGGGCTGGTTAGATAGTCGGACAGGTGCGCTCCTGACGCGTCACGTGACTCAGGTACGCGGTTCGGTCTCGTGTCGCCGCCTCGGGGTTACGAACCGCGACACGTGGGAGAGCTACCGAGACCTATACTGTACAGTACCCCCCTCCCCTCACACCACGCGCCCCTCCCCACAACATCCCCTCCCTTCGCCTCCCCACCACAACACACACAGGTGCGCCGTACACGCGCCCGCCCAGGTGAGGAGTCTTACCTGCGGCTCATTGCGCGGTGATCGTGGCCGTTTTGGGGGGCTGGGCGGCATGGGGGGCGGTGGGCGCGGGGAGGGGGTTTGCGGGTGGGGTTGGGAGTGGAGGTGCGCACACACACACACACCTGTGCCGCAGGGTACAGGTGTGTGTGTGTGTGTGCGCGAGACGAGCAATAATTCAGAACCTTGTCACGTGACGCCGCGGGCTCCTCCTGCAGGCAGAGCGGGTGGAGTTCGTGGCTCCAGGTTGAGGAGGCTCCAGGAATTCCACTCCGAGTTTCCCGGTTCTTGGATTCTCAGGGATCGCGTCGCAGGTGGATTCGCTGATTGTAACGGCGAGGCGTCGTGCGATGACGATGATTGCGTGACATGATGCCGGGACGCCACAGTGGCGAGTTATCAACAAGCTTCGCTCGTGAACAGCCGATTTGTGTTTAGCTTGTTTGCCTTCCTCGCACCTCCGATGAAGCACGGTTGGCTACGTACGGTGCAAAAGAAGTTCGACATATATACATACATGATTGTAGATTCATGATGATGATTGTAGATTCGTGATGATGATTGTAGATTCTTAATGATTATTGTATATTCGTGATTATGATGATTGCAGCTCCCCAAGTTTCCCTGGAGAAATGCGAGCGCCCGTCTAGTGCAGAACGCGTTGACGATGAAGCCAGCGCATTGCAATTTCTCAGTGGGTCTCTATGTGAGTCTATAGGTCTCTAAATGAGTCGGTGGATCTCTATGTGAATCTGTGCGTCTCTGTATACATCTCTGTGAGTCGATAGGTCTCTATGTGAGTCTTTGGGTTTCTGTGTGAGTATGCCATTCCAAGGGTCTCTGTGTAAGTACCCTATTTAGGTCTCTATATGAGTCTTGGTCTCTATGTAAGTCTAAAGTGTTCGTGCGAGTCGATGGGTCTCTGTGTGAGTCTATGTATTGGTCTCTACGTTATCAGGCTACGGATCTCTGTAACGAGGCGATGGGTATCTTTGCAAGTCTGTAGATCTCCCTGGAGGAGAAAGCTATACATAATAAACCATTTTTTTAATTTTACCAGGTAAGGCCCACTGAGCAATATAAAAAATTCAGAAGCGATCTGGCCACAAATGAAAGGTCAACGAAGTGGTTTATCATGTGGAACTGTATCGTAGCCAAATACTTCAAACGCACGTTTCTAAATGTGGAGGGGAAAATCGGAGGACCCGGAGAAAAATCCACGCGGCCACAGGGAGAGAGAGAGAGACACGCAAACTCCAAATATAGAGCAAGCATCAGGGTCGGGATCGAACCCACGACCTCCTGCATGCCAAGCGAGGTCGTTAACATCTCCTAGCCACCGCGACGCCCTAAAGCGCTGACGACAACGAATCCACCGCCAGCGCATTCCACTTCCTCGGTGACTCCCCGTGCACGCGTCACCGCCTGAGAATGCAGAGCCCCGAGGTGGACTTTGCAGCCTCCTCAACCTGGAGCCACGAGGCGATACTGGCCGTCGAGCGATGGGGGGTGGTGGGGAGGGGGGGGGGGGGGCTGTGCTCCCCGGTAGCCGTGGGAGCGGAATTGGGGGGTGGATGGGTGCTGGTCAGGGGGGAGGGGGCGAAGGAAGGGGAGGGGGGGGCTCCGCTTTGGCTCTGCGCGGGGCCCCCACGCCGAACAATCGCGGATCGTCGCCTCTGCGACGTCAGCGATTTTTATCGCGATTGTGCGCGCGCGGCAGATGGCGGTGCGCGGCACGGGGATGAATATTAATGCGTTAATTAGAGCTCGCGGGGGGGGGGGGCGGAGGAGGGAGGGGGTGTGGCGGACGACGGTCACACCGGGGCTCGGCGCTGGAACTCCTGACGCAGTGGGGACACGCAGTGCCCTCCCACCTCCCCATCACAATCCCACAACCCCCCTACGCCCCCCACGGGGGCAAAGCTTCACCCCCCGATTGGACCCGCGTGGGGCTTGGGGTGAAGTCATAGGGGATCAAACGTTGGTGCCCCCCCCCTCACTCCCATGCCCCTTCTGCCCCCCCGCCCTCACCCTCTCTGCCCAACTCCGAGAGGTGAAGCGGCGGACGTCACGGGCAGCCCCGCACCTCCGATCGGCGCGGTTGGCTTCGTGGTCAGCGACGCCGAGAAGCGAACGCGACGTGGAGAGAGGCGACGAGGTGCGGGGCGAGAGGCCGGGCTCGTAACTCGACGCCGGTTGGCTGGCTGATTCGGGCTAGGGCTAGCAACATCGGACAAGTTGGTTGGTAGAGTTGGATCAGTGGCAGGGCTAGAACTAGTTACTGGTTGGTTAGTTTGATTAAGATCGTTTGCAGAGCTATTGCTCATTGGTTTTTTCGGTAAAGTCACGTATGTAGAAATACAATAAAATAATATAAAAAACGTTTCGATCACAGCGCAAGCGATCTTCATCAGGTGTCAAGAACAAATCACGGAGGTAAATACAACAAAAAGATGAGAGACGAGAATTCAACAAACCTGAAAAAGCATTATGTGAAGCACATCCAGTCAGGCCAACAACACAGTTAGACACTTCCTGGCGGATCACGAATTTAGAGCTATTGCTATTGACTGGTGGGCTATCGTCAGATTGGGCTATGCCTCGTCCTTGTGGCTGGGTAGCTGGGTGGCTGGGTGACCAGCTGGTTATCTACGATTACTTGTGGCTGGTTAGGGTTCGTCCTATGGAACCGTTTGCTCGTCGAGTTAGGTTAGTGGGACGGTTGCTAGTTGTCTAGGGTTATGGTCAGTCGAAGAAGGGCTCGGATCTGTTACAAAGCCTCGTGCTGATGACGAGTGGGGCGAGTTCTTTTGGGCTCGTACTCGAGAAATGATTGGCTGTTATTTAGTGTTCGGGGGTAGGGATAGCACTAGTGGCTGGCTGCGGCTAATCGGTGACGGTAACTGGTGGGTATGTGACGAAGTGACGAGCTGGATGGTGTTTGGAGCTTCGCACCCCCTTGTCGTCTCTCGCTCGGTGTGCGGCCTCTGTTGGCGTGGCGCTCACAGCGCCACGCCGCGGTCTGTGTCGCCACCTCGCGGAGCGCCTCGGCACTGACTCGGGCGGCGTCTGCGTCACTCCCCCCCCCCCCCCGTGCGTGATCACGAGTCACACCACCCGTGATACGACGGATCGTCACAATTGATGTGGCGTGCTGTGTGTGCAGTAGCTGTGGCGTGCTGTGTGTGCAGTAGCTGTGGAGTGCTGTGTGTGCAGTAGCTGTGGCGTGCTGTGTGTGCAGTAGCTGTGGAGTGCTGTGTGTGCAGTAGCTGTGGCGTGCTGTGTGTGCAGTAGCTGTGGAGTGCTGTGTGTGCAGTAGCTGTGGCGTGCTGTGTGTGCAGTAGCTGTGGAGTGCTGTGTGTGCAGTAGCTGTGGCGTGCTGTGTGTACAGTAGCTGTGGAGTGCTGTGTGTGCAGTAGATGTGGAGTGCTGTGTGTGCAGTAGCTGTGGCGTGCTGTGTGTGCAGTAGCTGTGGCGTGCTGTGTGTGCAGTAGCTGTGGAGTGCTGTGTGTGCAGTAGCTGTGGAGTGCTGTGTGTGCAGTAGATGTGGAGTGCTGTGTGTGCAGTAGCTGTGGCGTGCTGTGTGTGCAGTAGATGTGGAGTGCTGTGTGTGCAGTAGCTGTGGAGTGCTGTGTGTGCAGTAGCTGTGGCGTGCTGTGTGTGCGGTAGATGTGGCGTGCTGTGTGTGCAGTAGCTGTGGCGTGCTGTGTGTGCAGTAGCTGTGGAGTGCTGTGTGTGCAGTAGCTGTGGAGTGCTGTGTGTGCAGTAGCTGTGGCGTGCTGTGTGTGCAGTAGCTGTGGCGTGCTGTGTGTGCAGTAGCTGTGGAGTGCTGTGTGTGCAGTAGCTGTGGCGTGCTGTGTGTACAGTAGCTGTGGAGTGCTGTGTGTGCAGTAGCTGTGGAGTGCTGTGTGTGCAGTAGATGTGGCGTGCTGTGTGTGCAGTAGCTGTGGAGTGCTGTGTGTGCGGTAGATGTGGCGTGCTGTGTGTGCAGTAGATGTGGCGTGCTGTGTGTGCAGTAGGTGTGGCGTGCTGTGTGTGCAGTAGATGTGGCGTGCTGTGTGTGCAGTAGGTGTGGCGTGCTGTGTGTGCAGTAGCTGTGGAGTGCTGTGTGTGCAGTAGGTGTGGCGTGCTGTGTGTGCAGTAGATGTGGCGTGCTGTGTGTGCAGTAGCTGTGGAGTGCTGTGTGTGCAGTAGCTGTGGAGTGCTGTGTGTGCAGTAGATGTGGCGTGCTGTGTGTGCAGTAGCTGTGGCGTGCTGTGTGTGCAGTAGCTGTGGAGTGCTGTGTGTGCAGTAGGTGTGGCGTGCTGTGTGTGCAGTAGCTGTGGAGTGCTGTGTGTGCAGTAGGTGTGGCGTGCTGTGTGTGCAGTAGCTGTGGCGTGCTGTTTGTGCAGTAGCTGTGGCGTGCTGTGTGTGCAGTAGCTGTGGCGTGCTGTGTGTGCAGTAGGTGTGGCGTGCTGTGTGTGCAGTAGATGTGGCGTGCTGTGTGTGCAGTAGCTGTGGAGTGCTGTGTGTGCAGTAGGTGTGGCGTGCTGTGTGTGCAGTAGGTGTGGCGTGCTGTGTGTGCAGTAGATGTGGCGTGCTGTGTGTGCAGTAGCTGTGGAGTGCTGTGTGGCTACGGGAGCTACCGCTCGCCAGCGGACCCGACCGCGAGTGGAAACACACACACTAACAACAAAACTATCGACGCGAAAACAGGCTTGGCCCCGACAGGGAGTCCAACCCGTGGGGTTGAGGGTCCGCGGCCAGGTCCAGAGCAGTCGAGTCCCCCGAGGTCGGCGCCACTCCAAGCAGACCCCTAAGGGGGTTCCCTAATCCCCTTCGTCCCCCTCCCCGTGGTGAATCGTCTCCCCGAAGGCATGGCGGGGAAGTGTTCATCTGTCCAGGCGTTCATCTGCCCTGGTGTTCAACACCTCGGATGTTCTGTCCAGGTGATCGCTGACCCGGGTGTTCACCTACAAAGATTTTCACCAGGTCAGATGTTCACCTTCCCAGATGTTCGCCTACAGCCCTAAAAGGATGTTCACCAGGTTAGATGTTCACATACAAAGATGTTCACTAGTTCAGATGTTCACCTTCCTAGACGTTAATCTACAACGAGGCTAACCAGCTCAGATATTCACATTCGCAGATGTCCATCAATTCAGGTGAGTGTGTAACCGAGTGTCCACCTACATGGTTTTGTTTTTCCGCAGCAATCTTTGTTTCTGTTCTTGATTCTGCCGATCGGACACACAACACGCGCACAAAGATAGAGATCCCCCGTTTAGCTGCATACACTGTTTGGGGCAAGTGTCGTTAGCACCGATGAAGGCCGGTACGGCACACGAGGACGTGGTTTGGACAACACCACAACCGGACGCCTTTGTCTCCCAATGTACTGACGTTTACACACCGCATTAGGTAAGTCGGATAATCGCTTGCCACTGATGTTGCCCGAAATTGAAGCCAGGTGGTCGGTTTAGTAGTGCAGTGCGCTAACCACTCTGCCACCACTTCACTTTACACACGCACCACTTTACACACACCGACGCACACATGCACAACAACAACAACCGCCGCTGGCCACTAAGTGGCGGTGTCGTCATTACGGCGCTTGTGCCAGGATAGGTGCACCTTGAGGCCATGTGAAGTGAGGAAGGCTTGCTGGCAGGTCATGGGACAGACCCAGCAAGTGCCATGGGTTGACTGTGCCAACTTGCTGCGTTTTAGCCGCCCGGCGCTCCGCTCATTGTTGTGAGCGTCGCTCCTGCACCCTCGATTGATACTGGTAGGAACCTCCTGGTTACACCAGCCCACAGGAGATTATTGTGTCCGTCTGTCCGTCGTGCATCCAAAAATGGGAGGGGTGGGGCTGGGCGGTGTTGTATATGTGGGTGTCATGAAATTGATGAAAATAATGAAAATTAAATGAAATTTGAAATTTGCATAATTTATCCAAAATTATGTTAATTAGTGTAATTATGCAGAGGGTGTGGGAGGGGCTGGGTGGGGAGGGGAGGGTGGGGAGGGGCTGGGTGGGGAGGGTGGGGCGGGGTGGGGAGGGGAGGGTGGGGAGGGGCTGGGTGGGGAGGGTGGGGAGGGGCTGGTCACCCCGTGGTGCCCTTATAAAACTACTCACGCCGGCTTGTGCCCGCCCTCAGTCGGGCATATTTGCGGAATACACCACGCCGCCATTGACCCTGGCCTGACCGAGCAACCCAACGTTCCTACCAGCTCCCTCCGCAGGAATGTGTTAATGGAGGGCGACTGCCTCCAACTGCCCATCTGCGTCCTTCATGAGCCTCCACAGAGGCCAATCTTGACACCGCTTGTCCCAGTCTTTGGCAAGTCCACTCAGCTCCACATCCTCCTATACCGCATTAGTCCAACTCTTTTCCAGCCCGTTTATCCCCCTCTATCTGGCCAAACAGAAGCTGCGGTGGCTGGGAATGCGTGCTGCATGACCCAGCCAATGCCGCCTCGCCAGCCAGAGGAGCTCACTGATGCATCAGTACCACCCAATCATAAATCATTAATTCCATCAGAAAAGTAACTGTCAGCACCCCACAAATTTCCTTCCTTAAGAGAAAGACTGGCGATCCGATCTCCGACCCTCAGAAACAGGGTTCTGAAATATCATGGGGCAAGGCGAGGTAAACCCGTTTGGGGCTGCCGTGCCTCAAATACCGGAGGAAGTAGCCACTGCTTGGCTAGCTGATGTGCACGTGCATACATGCGCGCACAGATGCATTTACACAAAGACACAGATGTCCCGCATAGCCTTGACAAACTGTTCGGTCAAGTGCTGTTAGTGAGAACATATGAAGGGCATGCACAGCACACGAGGGGATGGGTGGCGAGCACCACGCCTGACCGCCTTTGTCTCACCAGTGCTGATGTTGTTGGTGCTGGTAGCGCATTCACAGGCACGGACAAACACATGCAACAACAACAACCGCCATTCGCCACTGAATGGCGGTGACATCACCAACAACAACAACAACAACCGCCATTCGCCACTAAGTGGCGGTGACGTCACCACGACGCTTGTGCCAGGCTATGTGCACCCTGAGGCCACGTGAAGTGTCGAACGCCCGCTGGCAGGAGGTCACGGGGCAGACCCAGGTGCCACGGGTCGACTGACTGAGATGACTGGCTGATGCACCACCTGTGCCCCCTACTGTGCCAACCTGCTGTGCTTTAGCCACCCGGCGCTCCGCTCGCTGTTGTGAGCGTCGCTCCTCCGCCCTCCGTTGTTGTTGGAGGGCGACTGCCTCCAACTGCCCAGTAGCATCCTTCACGAGCCTCCTCCACAGAGGCCGATCTTGACACCGCTGGTACCAGTCATCGGCAAGTCCACTCAGCTCCACGTCCTCCTGTACCACATCACTCCATCTCTTCTCTAGCCCGTGCCGCGCCCGCTTAGCCCCCTCAATCCGGCCAAACAAAAGCTGTTTCGGCATGCGGTGGCTGGGCATGCGGGCTACATGACCCAGCCATCGCAGCCTTGCCTGCCGGAGGAGCTCACCGATGGGACCCTGCCCAGATCTTTCAAGGATTTGTGAGCTCCTCACACAATCCAGTCTGGTTAAACCCAGGATGGATCGTAGGCAGGTCAGCCTAAATGTTTCTAACCGGCGAAGATGTTCCATTAGGGGGGTCCACGTTTCGCAAGCGTAGAGAAGGGAGGGAATGACCGTGGCCGAGAAGACCTGAAGCTTAGTGCAGAGCGACAGACCAGGTAGCTTCCACACAGCGTTACGCAACCGATGAAAAGATATTGCCGCTCGACTGATTCGGAGTGAGACCTCTGCTGTTAAACTGGAGCCAGTCATAAGCACACTGCCCAGGTATGGGAAACTCTCCACTCTCTCCACAACTGCCCCATCACCGATTGGGAGTTGTGGGGGTGGAGTGTCCGATGGTACAAAATACCCAGGCAGGTGCTTAGTTTTGGTGGGGCTGATGGTAAGGCCCCACCTCTTAGTGGCATGCTCCAGTCTCAGCAGCAGCGTCTCCAACTCCTCCTCTGACTGAGCAGCTATTACCAAGTCATCAGCATACATAACGTGGTTGAGCAATAGGGAGCCATCCCTTGACCGCACCCGGGCATCGATTAGCCTCCCATTATATCTGTACCATATGGAGATTCCCCCGGTACAGCTATTGAAGGCTTCACGAACTACGTGGTCAAAATAGATGTTAAATAATGTGGGAGCCAGAGGACATCCCTGTCGCACCCCAAGGTGTACAGGGAATGGCTCTGACTCCCGGCCACGTAGTTTTACCCGGGCCCGCTCACCATCATGAAGGTCCTTAATGATCGTGAGCAGAGGGTCAGGTACTCCAAAAGCACGAAGAACGACCCAGAGCCCAGGCCTACTGATGGTATCATAGGCCTTGACCAGGTCAATAAAGCAGAGATGTAGGTCTTGTTGGAATTCCCTACACCTCTGCTGTAGCAGACGGACAGAAAATATGGCATCTGTGCAGGACCGCCCTTTCCTGAAACCGCATTGGGGCTCCGCAAGCCTCTCCTCAGCGTGCCTGGCAAGGCGATGCTGAATAATCCTTGCCAGGACCTTTCCCGGCACACTGAGGAGTGAGATGCCCCTGTAGTTGTTACAGTCTGTGCGGTCCCCCTTCTTAAAAAGGGGGACCACCAGGGCATCCTTCCAATCCTGCGGAACCCGTCCAGTGGTCCAGACTGTTGTTATGATGTCATATAGGGCAGTCTGTGCACAAACGCCACCCTCCCTCAGCATTTCGCTTGGGAGATCATCTCTGCCCGCTGCCTTTCCTGGTCTCAGACTCCGGATCGCCTTCAATACTTCCTCAGCAGATGGCACCTCAGCCAGCCACTCACAGGGGGTGACTTCATCCAATATTTGAGGCACCGCAGCCTCAGCAGGGTCATCCTCACTTTGTGCCACGATGTTTTCCTGGCTGTCGGATTTTCCCTCCCCCAGGACCTCACAGAAATGCTCAGCAAATCTGCGAACCTGTTCCTGGGGGTCGGAAATTGGATCACCGTTTTTTCCCCTAATGATGGTAATAGGTGTGGCGCTGCAGGTTACTTTTTTGATGGAGTTAAATAGCGATTTGTGATCACGGGCCACTGAGGCAGACTCCATCTCCTCAGCAACCCGCGACCACCACCCATCCTTGCAGCGCCTCACGGCTCTCCGAACCTCCGAGCGAAGGCTGCGGTAAGCCTCCTCATTCTCTGATGTGGGATTCTGTAGCCGATGGCAGTGGGCCTGTCGCTTTTTCTCAACCATCCTGAACAACTCCTCTGTCATCCAGGGTGTCTGGGGAGGTCTGGACCGCGTACCCAAAGCAGCCATTGCAGCTGCATGAGTCACAGTCCTAAACCTCGCCCATTTACCCTCGACATCAGGAGGAGTCGGGGACGATGCCAATCCCAGCCGCAAGCGATGATGAAATTCTCGCTTGCAACTTTCATCAGATAACTGAGACCAGGCCACTTTAGGTTGGAATGGGGTCCTGGGTGTACACCCACCACCGGAGTGGAAGAATGGCAGGCGCATCTTACAGATGACTAGTCGATGGTCAGAGGGCAGATCAGCTCCACGGTAGGTCCTGGTGTCAAGGACATGGGCTCGCATTCGCTGGTCCGTCACTATGTAGTCCAGCAGATGTTCTTGCTTGGACCCGGCATGCATCCATGATGTTGTGTGGATGCGCCGATGCCGGAACAGCGTGTTGGTAATTACAAGCCCATGGGCTGCACAAAAATCTAGCAGCCTCCTACCATTGTTATTGAGCTGATCTGGCCCATGCCCTCCAATCACTCCAGACCAGGTGCCAGTATCATGACCAACTCGGGCATTGAAGTCACCCAACATGATGACTCTATCCCGAGGGGCCACTTTAGCCAGCACCTGTGACAGGAGGTCATAGAAGGCATCTGACTCATCGGCTTTGCCTGCATCCCTCCACGGATGTTCATCTTCGGTGGGGGCATAAGTAACCACGACCACCATTCCTCGCCTCCGGTTGATGGGAAGGCGAGCCCAAAGTAGCCTGGGGCTTACAGCTTCCCACACCTCACCGCCACGCTCCCACGCCCCCTTCATTCTTTTGTTCAAAAGAAGACCCACACCCTGTTGTTTGGCAGTCTGCTGCCCCGAGTAGAGGACTGTCCACCCCTCATGGTGGCAGGAGCCAGAGCCGGTCCACCGGACCTCCTGAATGCCGCATAGATCCAGGCGGTACCGGTCCAGCTCCCGACAGAGGAGTGGCAGCCTCTCCTCTGCAGTGAGCGTTCGAACATTCCACGTGGCCACCCGTAGTGGCTTTTCGTTGTTTCTGGAGTAGCCCCGAGGGTAGGTATTCAATCTCCTGGCTCCGCCAATTGGGGTTTGGCCAGGAGACGTCATAGACGCCTGGCCCCCCGGGGCCTCCGGCACAAGCTTAGTTGTTACATATTTCACTTTAATTCGTGGTTTTGTGGTAATTAATTGAAGGTGGAGGGGTTACCAGCCCCTCGCACCCGTCCAGAGCCCCCGTTTAGCCCCTGTGGTGGACACATATGCCATGAGGGGAGGAGCCAATCAAAATTGGAACTCCCCCCACAGCACTGTCCACGACAGAGTTGCCCGTCCGGCACCGCGAGGAGGTAGGGGGTTGTTTTGCCGGACGGTGACGTCACCACACATGCATTCACACGCACACACACACATGCATTCACACGCGCACACACACACATGCATTCACACGCACACACACGCATTCACACGCATTCACACGCACACACACGCATTCACACGCACACACACACATGCATTCACACGCACACACACATGCATTCACACACACATGCATTCACACGCACACACATGCATTCACACGCGCACACACACATGCATTCACACGCACACACACACATGCATTCACACACACATGCATTCACACGCACACAAACGCATGCATTCACATGCACACACACTTGCATTCACACGCACACACACATGCATTCACACGCACACACACACACATGCATTCACACGCACACACACATGCATTCACACACACATGCATTCACGCACACACGCATGCATTCACACGCACACACACTTGCATTCACACGCACACACACACATGCATTCACACGCACACACACACATGCATTCACACGCACACACACACATGCATTCACACGCACACACACGCATTCACACGCATTCACACGCACACACACGCATTCACACGCACACACACACATGGATTCACACGCACACACGCATGCATTCACACACATACATTCACACGCACACACATGCATTCACACGCGCACACACACATGCATTCACACGCACACACACACATGCATTCACACGCACACACACACATGCATTCACACGCACACACAAACATGCATTCACACACACATGCATTCACACGCACACGAACGATTGCATTCACATGCACACACACTTGCATTCAGACGCACACACACACATGCATTCACACGCACACACACACATGCATTCACACGCACACACACATGCATTCACATGCACACACACATGCATTCACACACACATGCATTCACACACACGCATGCATTCACACGCACACACACTTGCATTCACACGCACACACACACATGCATTCACACGCACACACACATGCATTCACACGCACACACACAAGCATTCACACATACACACACGCATTCACACGCACACACACACGCATTTACACGCACACATGCATTCACATGCACACACATGCATTCACACACACATGCATTCACACACACATGCATTCACACACACACATGCATTCACACACACACATGCATTCACACGCACACACACACGCATTCACACGCACACACACAAGCATTCACACGCACACACACACATTTACTCACACGCACACACACATGCATTCACACGCACACACACACATGCATTCACACGCACACACACACATGCACTCACACGCACACACACATGCATTCACACACACACGCATTCACACGCACACACACACGCATTCACACGCACACACACGCATTCACACGCACACACACATGCATTCACACGGGCACATCCATGCATTCACACGCACACACATGCATTCACACGCACACACACATGCATTCACACGCACACACAGACGCATTCACACACACACACATGCATTCACACGCACACACACATGCATTCACACACACACATGCATTTACACGCACACACACGCATTCACACACACACGCATTCACACGCACACACACATGCATTCACACGCACACACGCATTCACACGCACACACATGCATTCACACGCACACACACACACATTCACACGCACACACACACGCATTCACACGCACACACATTCACACGCACACACACACACATTCACACGCACACACACACACATTCACACGCACACACATGCATTCACACGCAAGGGGAAGTGCGAGTCGCCTGACTGCACATTGATGACCGCAGCAGTGCCAGGCTGCGTGTGGCGACGCCTGTACCAATGGTAATAAGTAATCGGTGACTTATCTATCCAGGAGAGGCACGCTGAGTCGCAGCACTCTTTTTCAAGAGGGTCTTGCTGCTGCTGCTCCATTGGGCTTTTATCGAAAGATATTTCCAGCCAATGAATGATGAGTTCGTGTTGATTATGCCACGTGGGAGGAAACCGGAGCACCCGGAAAAAACCCACACAGAGCACGAGGGGGCAACGCTCTATCCCCGTACAGATGGAAACAGATGTCGATTAATCGACTTCTTGTACTGCCTTCTCCTGGAAAGACAGGGTATGGCACTCCCTCGACACTCACGGGTTGGGAGATGCACAAGAGTTGTGTCATCCACCAATCCTCAGTGACTCCACAGTGCTGGATTACAGGCCACGTGCACAGCCACCACTACCTGGCGAGATGGGATTTGGGGGGGAGGGGGTGTGCGTGTGGGAGCGGTGGTGCAGCGGTTACCGCACTGTGTTATAGACCCTGATACCCGAGTTCGATTCACGTTCACCGCCACCAACATTGACGATCTTCTGAACCGGTCCTGGGCCTCCCCTATGTCGACTCGGGCTCAAATGAGCACCTGGTGCCGCGTGTAAACATCACCACAAGGGATACAAAGGCGGCCGAGCGTGGTGCTGCCCCCCCCCCCCACCCGTGTGCCGTGTCGGCCTTCGTACGTGCTCGCTACCAGCACTCTGCCCCAAACAGTGCGCTCGAGGGGGATCTTTACCTTTGTACCTCTGTGTGTGCCACTCACCATCTTCCAGCGCAGGAGCTTGATCCACTCGTCAGCCTCCAACGCGTTCTTGGCGCACAGGAAGAAAGTCCTCTCCGGGAACACGAGGCTGGGAGACAGCAGCACGAGCGTGGGGTGGAAGGTGACGGGGGGTTGGGGGGGGGTCACGTTGACCGACACTCGGGAAGGGACTCGATACGCTCGTCAGTAGCGCTGCTGTGTCCTCAGAAGGGGACAAATATCAGAGACGACGTTTCGGGGGGCAATCTTATTTCGTTTCACATTCACGCGGTTAAGCCCAGACAAACCCACGGCAGGAGCAGCGGCGCTCTGTGTCGCTGCGGTTAGTCCCTAGCGTCGTTGCACGTTGTTGTCGAGCCTGTGCTGGGTGAGCACAGGCCCGACAACAACGCAGAGGCAATGCCCCTTCCTCGTAGCGCGAGCCACGGCTACGTGGCTTTCGTTTCCTGTGCTCGTGCGCCACTGCCAACGCAGCAGCACCAAATACTTTGATGCAAGTGGTGGTGATGGTGTAGCTGGTACAATTTATGATGGTGGTGATAATGCTGATGATGATAGTAGTGTTGTTGATGGTGGTGGTGATAGTGAGTAGTGGTGAGGATTGTAGGTGACAATGACGGTGATCCTCATGGAATCGATTACAATGACAACGACGACGACGATGTTGTTGCAAGGCCCTCTTCGAGTCCAGCGTCTCGTTATTAGTGAGATGTGTGTTGGTGAGTGTATTCGGTGAGTGTGTTTGGTGAGTGACTGTGTGTAGGTGAGTGTGTTTGGTGAGTGAGTGTTGGTGAGTGTATTTTGTGAATGTTGGTGAGTGTGTTTGGTGAGTGTTGGTTAAAATGTGTTGGCGAGAGAGTGTGTGTTTGGTGAGTGTTTGTGTGTGTGACAATTATTTGAACCGGTCCTGGGCCTCCCCTAGGTCTACTCAGCCTCAAATGAGTACCTAGTGCGGTGTGTAAACATCGCCACTGGAAAGACAAAGGCGGCCGGGCATGGTGCTGGCCACCCACCCCTTCGTGTGCCGTGCTGGCCTTCATAGGTGCTCGCTAACAGCACTTGCCCCTACAGTCTGTTCAGGCTATACGGGGGTTATTTGTCTTTGTTGGTGAGTGTGTGCTGGTGAGTGTGCTGGTGAATGTGTGCTGGTGAGTGTGTGCTGGTGAGTGTGAGATCGAGGGGCACGTTGAATCCTCACCAGAAGCAGTTCACCTTCTCCCGGCTGTAGTCGAACTGCACTGCCGTGCACCGGCTCAGGTCCAGGGCTTTGATTGGCTCCGTGTCCTGGTCACGGGTGCCGCCACAATAAAATCAGACCGCGTGGTGTTGTTGTTGCTTCGGAAAATAACAACAACAACCACCAACAGCAACAGCCGCCACCAGCACCAGCTGAGTCAGCCGATAAATGTAACTCATCTCAGCCCCACTGTAAACATGGCCCCTGCTACCGAGATAGTAACTTTGTTTTTATTTCCCCTGACACCGTGTGCTGATGCAAACGAGTTCCTGGTACCATAGTCCAATGTTTAAAAGTAGAACGAGAGGCGCACTGATGCTGTGGTTTAATGTGAACCTACCCATGGCACCGTGGTTTAATGTGAACCTACCCCATGTTACCGTGGTTTAATGTGAACCTACCCATGTTACCGTGGTTTATTGTGAACCTACCCATGGTACCGTGGTTTAATGTGAACCTACCCATGGTACCGTGGTTTATTGTGAACCTACCACATGGTACCGTGGTTTAATGTGAACCTACCCATGGTACCGTGGTTTAATGTGAACCTACCCATGGTACCGTGGTTTAATGTGAACCTACCCATGGTACCGTGGTTTAATGTGAACCTACCCCATGTTACCGTGGTTTATTGTGAACCTACCCCATGTTACCGTGGTTTATTGTGAACCAACCCCATGGTACCGTGGTTTAATGTGAACCTACCCCATGTTACCGTGGTTTAATGTGAACGAAGCTTAAATGTCATGGGGCCCGATGTCATCACTGGCCTCGTGCTGTGGTCCAGGCATAAAGAAGCCCTGGTAGCAAGGCCGAATGCAAAACTACACCAAGTATGTGGTTATAACTTTAATTGGGTCCTTGGCGTGGTAAACGAGTTGGGGGCTGAGGAATAATAGTAGAGGAGGGGGCGGTGGGGGAAGGAAAATGGTTCCCGCACATCTCCTCATCTCAGATTCAGAATCTGTATTTAGACTCGAGTATATAAAGCTTTTTCACAGATGTCCACTAGGTTCACAGACGTCCATATCAAATATGACTCCCCCTCCAATCCATCTCGCCCCCCCCCCCCCCACCAACCAGATCCGCGACACACGTCTCTTCACGCGCGCCAATCTAATGCCCCCCCGCCCCCCATCAAGCGCCCCCCCCCCCCAGCCCTTCAACCTGGAACGTGTTCAACCCCCACCCAACTTCCCCATCCCCTTTCAACCTTGAACCCGCAACCACCCTCATCCATAAACCATCACCAGCTCCTACCCAGGCGTGGGAGACACGCGTGTGCGTGTCGTAAGATTTGGCGAAAACGGTGACTCGTGCGCGCGTCTCTGTGCGTGCGTGTGTCTTTGTGTGTCTGTGTGTGTGTCTGTGCGTGCGTGTGTCTGTGCGTGCGTGTGTCTGTGTGTCTGTGCGTGCGTGTGTGTCTTTGTGTGTCTGTGTGTGTGTGTCTGTGCATGCATGTGTCTGTGGCGTGTGTCTTTGTGTGTCTGTGCGTGCGTGTGTGTCTTTGTGTGTCTGTGCGTGTGTGTCTGTGCGTGCGTGTGTGTCTTTGTGTGTCTGTGTGTGTGTGTCTGTGCGTGCGTGTGTCTGTGCGTGTGTGTCTTTGTGTGTCTGTGTGTGTGTCTGTGCGTGCGTGTGTGTCTTTGTGTGTCTGTGTGTGTGTCTGTGCATGCGTGTCTTTGTGTGTCTGTGCGTGTGTGTCTGTGCGTGTGTGTCTGTGCGTGTGTGTCTTTATGTGTCTGTGTGTGTGTGTCTGTGCATGCGTGTGTCTGTGCGTGCGTGTGTCTGTGTATCTGTGCGTGCGTGTATGTCTTTGTGTGTCTGTGTGTGTGTGTCTGTGCGTGCGTGTCTTTGTGTGTCTGTGTGTGTGTGTGTCTGTGCGTGCGTGTGTGTCTTTGTGTGTCTGGTGTGCGTGTGTGCAGGGCGGAGCGGCAGTGAGGCGTTTAACGCGCACCGCTATGAAGGCCGGTAATCCGAGTTCGATTCCGCTGACGGTTGCCAACACGAGTGACGATTATCTTAACCGGTCCTGGGCTTCTCCTAGGTCGACTCAGCCTCAAATAAGTACCTGGAGGGGTTTGTAAACATCGCCACTGGGGAGACAAAGGTAGCCCAGGCGTGGTGCTGGCCACCCACCCCCTCGTGTGCCGTATCGGCCTTCATATGTTTCTTGCTAACAGCACTTGCCCCAACAGTCTATTAAAGCTATACGGGAGATATTTGTCTTTGTGTGTTTGTATACATGTGTATACATATGTGTACACACGTGTGTACAAATGTGTACACACGTGTGTACACACGTGTGTACACAGCAGCATCTACCCCGCCAGTCTACATCTCGGCGATAGAGGGGGTTCTGCTGGAGTCTGGCCTCAGGCTCGCGTCACCTTCCTGTCCTTGAAGTACTTGAGCTCGTTCCTCTGCAGCGTGAACCAGCGGCGCTTCCACGTCTGTGACACAAACCACGGGAAGAGCAAAAGGAGAGGTCCCCCGTGTAGCCTTTAACAGACCCGTGGGACATGTTCCGTTATGAAGGTAGGCACAGCACACCAAGTGGTAGGTGACCGCAGCGCTGATGTTTACACAAGGCAACACGCACACATTTTGGGGGTTATTGGTCGTGGGCGGGAATCGAACTCTGCTCGCCGGGGTCGTAGCGCAGTGCACGAAGAGCTCCCATCCCCGCTGCGCCCCATCCCCTTCACCTGCCCCCTTCCTCCCACTACCCCCCCCCCCCACCACCACCATTCCCTCTCTCCCTGCCCCCCTCCAGCCCCGATCCACTCCCTCAGGGCCCCCGGCACTACTCAAAGCCGTGCCACATGGGACAATGCGTAGGAAAAATAAATGTAACCGAAGATCGTCTAAAGCCGGAGAGTTCAGCCCTTGTGGACTTGACAATGGATTGACAATGGGATTGAATATTAAATTGACAATGGGATTGACAATGAATTGACAATGGAATTGACAATGGGATTGACAATGGAATTGACAATGAATTGACAATGTAATTGACAATGGATTGACAATTGGATTGACAATGGAATTGACAATGGGATTGACAATGGATCGACAATGGATTGACAATGGAATTGACAATGCATTGACAATGGATTGACAATGGGATTGACAATGGGATTGACAATGGAATTGACAATGGGATTGACAATATGATTGACAATGGGATTGACAATGGGATTGACAATAGTATTGACAATGGAATTGACAATGGGCTGTTAGGCAATCTTGAATATCGCAGGAGCAGAGAATATCGGCTGTCAGTGCCAACCTATAACATCGTGTTGCTGTGTGTATTGTAAAAAGGCCATTGCCCGAAACGTCACCGATTGTATTGTTTTTGTTATGTAAGGCCACAGCGTTATTGACGAACGTGTTGAGTTTTATTTTGTGCAATATAACCTTCATACTAAAAATGTAGATGTATTAATAATGTACTAATTATGAAAAGTATAAAGCTCGCTGGCAATCCACTGCTGGATGGAGGAACCTCAAAGCAAATAGAGCGGAGTTATTTTCAGAGGACAATGAACATAAAACAACTGAACACCATCGTTGATAATACCGCTTGTGTGTGGCCTTAAGTGAAAAACAACAATGTTTAAAGAGCGACCCTTCTGCATATCACGTGACTGAAAAAATACAGAGCGGTGATGTTCGTCACCAAAGGGCCTCCACTGGCGGGTGGACCTGGGTGCGGGGTTGAACCCATCTGGTAGATGGTGATCGCTCACCTTGACGCGGTTGCCCTGTTTGTTGAGGAATCCCTCCTTCGTCCCCACCTGGGTTGAGGGTAGAGGCAGGGATGGACATAACCAAAGAGGGGTCATTCTCCTCTGCTACCCCCCACTTCCACATCCCCTTTCCCCACCCACAGTGAGGCGGCCCGGCGGCAGAGCGCTTGCCACTCGTTGCAGAGGGTCACAGTTTGAGCACAGTCGCCGCCCTGATTAACATTGCAGGGTGTCACATTTCAGGGTGCGAGATAGCCGTAACACCACCACGCGCCGTCCACTCACAGGGGGATTTAAAGATCCCCCCCACCGGCGTGAGGATTCCACATTCATCACCACCCCCCTTCCCCTTTTACTGGCAGACTAATGTGACTCCAGGTCACTCTTGCAAATGAGACTCATCGTAGTCTCTTTGGGGAGATGTTAACGCCCTCGCCTGGTATACAGGAGGTCGTGGGTTCGTTCGTGACTCTGATGCCTGCTGTATATTTGAAGTTTGCATTTTCTCCCCGGGGTCGCGTGGATCTTCCTCCGAGTCTTCCGGGTGTTCCCTCGACATTTAGAATCATGCGTTTAGAGTATTTGGTTGCTTTACATTTCCACGTGAAAAGCCACTTCGTTGAACTATCATTTGTGGCCAGGTGGCTTCTGAAAAAGACCCAGATAGCTCAGTGGGCCTTCCGTGGTAAAACAAAATATAGTTTATATTTTGGATTGACCATTATTATTGTGTATTGTATTATAAACAATTGCGTACATGTGCGAATATCGTGCTGAAGTGTAGGCACGTGCGTCTATATGAATGAGGCTCTCTCAAGTGACTGGCTTGGCAGATTTGTTTTCCATTAAACCGGGGCTGAGACTCGCGAAGGCGAATCGCGAAGGTGAACGGGAGAGAGACCCCGAGAGTGGAAAGGGGTCGAGACCTCGCGGTGTCGTCTGACGTCAGAGATAAAGACACAGATCCCCCGTGTAGCCTGCAGCAGACTGTCGGGGCAAGTGCTGATAGTGAGCACTTTAAAGGTCAGCACAGCACACGAGGGGGTGGGTGGCCAGAACCCCACCCGGCCCCCTTTGTTTCCCTCGTGGCGATGTTTACACACCTCGCCAGATACAGTATTGATTTGAGGCTGAGTCTAACAAGTGGAGGTACAGGGCCGGTTCAAATATTCGGGGATCGTAGTGGAGCGCGTTAACCGCTACTCGGCCGCTCGCAACTCCTCACCCGGTCACTCCTTCACCCTCAACTCCATCACCAACACCTCCCTCGCCCACACCTCCCTCGCCCACCCCTCCCTCGCCCACACCTCCCTCGCCCACACCTCCCTCGCCCACACCTCCCTCGCCCACACCTCCCTCGCCCACACCTCCCTCGCCCACACCTCCCTCGCCCACACCTCCCTCGCCCACACCTCCCTCGCCCACACCTCCCTCGCCCACACCTCCCTCGCCCACACCTCCTTCGCCCACACCTCCCTCGCCCACACCTCCCTCGCCCACATTCCAACACTCGCCAAACTCTCACCGCCGACCACTCCCCGGTGAGGGCTGTGGGTTTACGGCGTTTGCGGGAAGTGGAGCAGAAAACGAATTCGCGTTAGTGAGTGAGTGAGAGTTCGCGTGCGCCGTTCCGGCCTTCACAGGTGCTCGCTAGTAGCACTTGCTCCTACAGTCTCTGTTAAGGCTATACGGGGGGTATTTGTTTTTGTTCGTGAGTGTGTGTGAGTTAGTGAGCGAGTGTGCGCGTGATTTAGTGAGTCTGTGAGAATGTGAGTGATTGTGAGTGAGTTAGCGAACACGAGTACATGAGTGAATGGTTTCGTGAGCGGTAAAAATGTCGAGTGCAGAGTGTGTGAGTGAGTGTGTTCGTGAGTGTTAGTGAGTGAGTGTGTGAGTGAGTGTGTTAATGAGTGTTGGTGAGTGTGTGTTTTCGTAGGTTAGTGAGTGTGTGAGTGAGTAAAGAACGACCCTCACAACAACGAGCGGAGCGCCGGGTGGTTAAAGCACAGCAGGTTGGCACAGTAGGGGGCACAGGTGGTGCATCGGCCACTCATCTCAGTCAACACTTCACGTGGCCTCAACGTGCACTTAGCCTGGCACAAGCACCGTGGTGACGTCACCGCCACTTAGTGGCGAATTGTTGTTGAGTGAGTGTGCGGGCGCGTGTGTGATTTCATTCGTGCGTATGCATGTACGTGCATTTGTGTGTGAGTGTGTGGTTGAGTGTGTGGGTGAGCTAGTGAGTGGATGCATGAGTTAGTGAGTGTGAGAATGAGCTCTTAAGTGCGTCGGTTAATGAGTGCGTAGGTGAGGCAGTGGGTGGGTGGGAGAGTGCGCGCGAGTTTAGTGAGTGCACGAGTGATTGCGTGCATGAGTGAGTTAATGAGTGAGTGTGCGTGCGTGAGTTAATGAGTGAGTGAGAGCGCGCGCGCGCGCGCGGAGAGCCTTAATTAATCCTGCCCCGGCAGACGGGTGCTCCGTGAACGTGCATCGATCGAGAGCAGAGTGTGCGTGGGGGGTGACAGGTTTCTCACAGGGGAGGGGGAAGCCCCCACCACGGCCCCCCCACCGCCCCACCCCCCACACCCTCCAGGGCCCTTACCCCTCCCTGCGTTCGACCCTGAAGCTCCATGGCCACGCATGATGAGATTCTGTACGGCATCGCTTTTTTGCGTTGGACGGGTGTGCTATAGTTACATGGCCATGCCCTCGCCAATACCGTCTGGCAATCCAGCACAGTTTGTTTAACACAATCCTAAACCCTGCAGAGGAAACAGCGGATGTCAACACAGGACCAGAGATTTGCACGTCTTGAAACAGCGCTGCTGCAATGATGCACTCCCGAGAAGGCCCTGCGGCTGGTGGGTTATGCAAGTGTGTAATATATATTTTAGATTTAGTACAATGCGACAATTTGTGTGCTTAATAATGTTGTTACCTATCACTAACAGACTCTCCCTGCTTAGTTTACACAGACTGTCGGGGAATTAATAAAATAATAATTGTTGTTAGCGAGCTGGGTGCTTGCTATTCTCTTCTTGTGCACGATGGCAGTCGCAATGCGGCTCAGGAGCTCCACGATGCCATGCCGAGGCCTGCTGCTGCTGCCTGCTGCTGCTGCCTGCTGCTGCTGCTGCCTGCTGCTGCTGCTGCCTGCTGCTGCTGCCTGCTGCTGCTGCTGCCTGCTGCTGCTGCTGCTGCCTGCTGCTGCTGCCTGCTGCTGCTGCTGCTGCTGCTGCTGCTGCTGCCTGCTGCTGCTGCTGCCTGCTGCTGCTGCTGCCTGCTGCTGCTGCCTGCTGCTGCTGCTGCCTGCTGCTGCTGCTGCCTGCTGCTGCTGCTGCCTGCTGCTGCTGCCTGCTGCTGCTGCTGCTGCTGCTGCTGCTGCTGCTGCTGCTGCCTGCTGCTGCTGCTGCTGCTGCCTGCTGCTGCTGCTGCCTGCTGCTCCTGCTGCTGCTGCCTGCTGCTGCTGCCTGCTGCTGCTGCTGCCTGCTGCTGCTGCTGCCTGCTGCTGCTGCCTGCTGCTGCTGCTGCCTGCTGCTGCTGCCTGCTGCTGCTGGCCACGGCGAGAGAGGGCTTCAGCAGAGAGAGACAGCGCTCGTGTCGTGTCGCGGTTCACTCTGCGGTCCCGAGTACGGGTTACATGGCCACAGCCGCAGGGTTGTGGATTGCTTTTAATGTATCTCTATGGGTTGCTATGGGTCTCTATGTATCTCTGTGGGTCTCTAAGTATCTCTATGGGTCTCTATGTATCTCTATGGGTGTCTGTGTGTCTGTGTGTCTCTATGGCTTTCTATGTGTATCTGTGGCGTTACGCACGGAGGAGGCGTATGTGGGGACGTCATCGATGGTGCGACCCGAGCGCATCGCCGTGTGAACGATGATGGGGTCGTAGAAGGAAGGTTCCGCCACCTCCCGCGGGAACGGGAACCGGAGGCTAATCAGGCCCCCTGCAACACGAGGGGTTGGGGGGGGGAGAGAGGGCACGTGGGCTGGGCGCCATCGAGAGCACGCGGACCCCGAGAGAGCTGCCGTCGCCCGGTGGCGCGCGAACGAACGCGTGCCGCGCACTTGCGCCGGTCTCAAGCGGATCGACTGGTTTGGTGGGGTGGTGGTGGTGTGCTGACCGGTCTCACTGCCCAGGATGGGTTCGTTGGCGAGGTGATCGGCGAACTCCTTGACCGTGGGGAAGATGGTGAAGCCGAAGGAGAAGCCCCGAGTCTCGCTCCAGCTCACCTGGAAATTCCTCACCGAGTCCTTGGACCTGGCGAGCGGGAGGCGGGGATTCGTGGGTGCGGTGATGGTGGTGGTGCATGGATAGGGAATCATTGTGATGGTGGTGGATGGATTAATGATTATTATTGAAATGGTGAACGCATAATGATGATTATTGTTGGTGATGATGGTAATCATGGATGGATTGATGGATGATTATTTATTGAAAATGATGATAAGGGATGGGTGGCTTGGTGATGATTGATGATGGGGTTACTACGTAGGTGTGCTAGACATGTTGGGTTGCTATGGGTGTACGATGCAGCGTGTTCTATGCAGGTTGTGATATGCGGGTATGCTATACAGGCGTGCTATACAGGTACGCTATTTAGGGTGTGCTGTGCAGAATGTTAAGTCGGGTGTTATATGCAATGGGTGTGGTGCAGTCGGTGCTATGCAGAGTGAAGTATACAGGGACGTTAGGCGAGAGTGCTCTATGGGGGACACCACACAGGGTGTAGGGTACAGGGAATGCTCTGTGGGGTGCCGTGGGTGTGCCATGCGCTAACCTGGCCGCCAACACGAACTGTCCGTCCAGCCCCCGCCTGAACAGGTAGCTCCCTTCCTGCCCGTTCTGCATCAGCATCGCCTCGGCCACGTGGCGAGACATGGTGCCGTGGTACCACCTGCGGCATGCGGGCACAGGGGGGTGAGAACCCGGACTGGGTGTGGGTCGGGACCTCGTAGGGGTGGGGTGACGGGCGAAGGGGCGGAGGGGGGGGGGGGGGCACGAGTCTGTGGGACAGGGGCTGTAGTGCCCCCCAGGTCTGTCTATCGCTGGGAAAGAGACCTTGGGGAGTTGAGAGACACGTGACGTGGAGCGGAGCGTGAAGGCCAAGTTGAAGTTGGTGAAGAGGGATGCTGGGGAGGGCGACTTCCTCTGGGCCCGCTTGGCTACTCCACACGGGTGCTATCGGCTACCCCACAAGCTGCGAGAAGCTCTCATTAATTCCATACACGTGCCTTAAAGATCCCCCACATAGCCTTCAACAGACTTTGGGCAAGTGCTGTTAGCGAGTAGCACATGTGAAGGCCGAGACGGCACACAGCGCGGTGGGTGGCCAATACCACGCCCAGCCGCCTTAGTATCCCCAATGGCGATGTTTAGACACCAAACCAGGTACTCATTTAAGGCTGAGTCGACCTTGGAGATCCCAGGGGCTGGCTCAGACAAGCTTCACTGGTGTTTGCCGTGAGCGGGAATCGAACCAGGGTCGCTGGGTTCGAGGCGCAGCACGCGAACTGCTGCGCTGCTGCTCCCCATCGCACGTGACAGGCACTCACACACACGCGCGATCAGTGATCAGGGCACCCACTGCCGACGGTTTCACAACGCCATCTGGCACACACACGAGGCCAAACAAACACTCATTCATTCGCAGGATCCTCCTCAAAACAAATGCAGAAGCTCAAGATTTCAGTGTGGCTTTTTCCCGTGTTAAATAATAATTCTAATTTAATGTATTTGCGTTTTATTGTTGTTGTTGATATGATTATTAAAACGCTCCAAGAAGATGAATCCCTGCAGTCACGAAAGCTTTAAATCGAAATAAAATGACTTGTACCGCGCGTCCTTTCAATTGCCTGTAAACGCATACTTTCAATCCGCGTACATCACCTGCTTGGTTTGACATAAGAGTTTGAAACATTGACATTTATCCACACAAACAGCGTGAAAACAAACGAAAGCGTACCAACAATGACGGAGAGCTGCATTCTTAGCATTGCGCGAATTAAACAGGACGAGCAAGATCAAGTTGGACGACACAATTGCACACCTCCGCAAAACGTGAAATGGCTTGGGCACGCAAGACACGCGGGTCACTGGAAGGAACGGACTCACTGACGGACGGACGGACTAATGGACAAACGAACTAACTGACGGACGGACTAACTGACAGACTGACGGACTAACTGATGGACTAACTGACAGACTAACTGACTGACGGACGGACTAACTGACAGACTGACGGACTAACTGACGGACTAACTGACAGACTAACTGACAAATTGACGGACTAACTGACGGACTAACAGATTGACGGACTAACTGACGGACTAAGTGACAGACGGACTGACAGACTGACGGACTAACTGACGGACTAACTGACAGACTGACGGACTAACTGACGGACTAACTGACGGACGGACTGACAGACTGACGGATTAACTGACGGACTAACTGACAGACTAACTGACAGACTAACTGACAGACTGACGGACGGACTAACTGACGGACTAATTGACGGACGGACTAATGGACAGACGAACTAACTGACGGACTGACAGACTGACGGACGGACTGACTGACGAACTAACTGACAGACTGACGGACGGACTAATGGACAGACGAACTGACGGACTAACTGACTTACTGACGGGCTCTGTGGAGACTAACACCGGAGTGCGCAGCCAACGGAAGAAACGCGCCCGAGAGAACGTCCCGCCCGTCCGTCCATCGCTCAGACGGGAGCCGTGAATTCAGCCCGTGCGGAGAGGCCAAGCGGTTCGTGACACTGCGAGGCCGTGAGACGTGGCAACGACCTCTTAGGGGGTGAACCCTTCGTCCGGCAGTGGATAGATCGGGGCCGGCGATAAATGATGGATTACGTATGTTGAACTTCGTTCGCACCGTACGTAGCCAACCGTACTAGTTATGGGTGATGATGATTTAAGACCGCACGTTGTGGTTTATGCGCGCCCGGTGACCAAAGGTCGGCCGCGAGCTCCGATCCGCGGAGACAGAGGCCAGATACGGAGAGAGCATGGGGCGCGGGACAAGAATTCGATCGCAAACACAGGAGGAGGAGGAGTGGTGGGGCGAGACGGGAGGGTGAGGTGGAGGGAATCCACGGATGGAGGCAGGGAGAAATGTTCAGGACTCACTGGAAGGTGGACAGCTCCTTTTCCACACTGGTTCCCATCGTGTCCTCGCCTCGCCCCTCCTCCTTCGTCTACTCGCCTCGGCGTTACACCGCGCATCTCCTCCCCATGGCGCCGCCGAGCGTGAGGAGTGGTGGCTCGCTCGGGGTCGCGTCCAGACGGACAAGGCGCGACTCACGACGCCACCACTGCTCCAGAAAAAAAGCAGCAACAACAGCAGCAGTAGCAGCAGGAACAGCAGCAGGAGCAGCAGCAGCAACAGCGACGGCAGCGGCGGGAAGTGGCGCCGTGCAGTGTTGGAGGTGGCTGTGCGAGGGCAGGGAGGGAGGTGGTTGAGGTCTCTCTCTCTCGCTCTCTCGCTTGGGTCCACGCGGACTTCAGACTGGGCGTGTGCACGGCCGAGCGCGTGTCCGAGGCGATTGGTCGCCAGTGGATGCCCCCCCACTCAACCCCTCCCCGCTACCACCTGTGCGGTCAGCTGATTGTGATGATAATGGTCATGGTGATGGTTACGAGGATTTTAAAAATCCATCTCATCCTACTGATGCGACTGAGATTCAGCCAAGTGGTTATCATGGTGGTGATGATGACAGTGGCAATGATGGTGGTGATGGTGGTGGTAGCGATGGTGGTCGTGATATGATAGTGATGATGACTGTGGTGGTGGTGGTGGTGTTAATAATGATAATGCTAGCCGTGGTGATGATGATGGCAATGATGATGGGGGTAGTGGAGGAGGCAATGATGGTGGTGGTTGTGGCGGTAACGATGGTGGTGGTTGGTGGTGTTGATGATGATGGTTGTGACATCATAACTCCACCTGTAAAACATCTATTTACCCCAGCTGCTGCTGAGACCTTCCTCCACGCTTGCATCACATCCAGAATCGACGACTGCGACTCTCCTCTCTGGCCTCTCCACTCGAGGATCCAACGTCACTGCCAGACTTCTCACCCACACCCCGAATCCTCCGAATCCATCCACCGGCTTGAACATCCAATTCTGGGTTAACTTTAAGATCGCATTCAGCAACTTCAAGATCCTCCATGCACTTAACCTCTACCTCTCGCTCCTACATCATCTCACTCTACTCCCCTCCACGCACTCTCCTACCTCTCCCCTCTCATCTCACTCTACTCCCCTCCACGCACTCTCCTACCTCTCCCCTCTCGTCTCACTCCACGCCGCTCTCTGTTCCATCAACCGTGGCTTTCTGTGGAATCCCCCAGGTCAACCTTCTCAGCAATCAGGCCCAATGTGTTTTTCATTCTCTTGTTAATGTGCCCGTGACTATTTCTCCGAATACCATTCGCTCACTTGCACAGGAAACCCGCGTCCCGATGTTTCCGCGCCACGTCCGATATATTACCCTGCAGTCCAAACGTTAGATCTTCCTCTTTCACACGCCTGATGGCTCACTGCCTCTGGCAACACATACACAATGCCCATTGTTTATGTCGTCTTAAGATGCAGTCGAATTCCGACGTGATGTACGCCTCTCTATATATATGGTATTGGACATAACTCAAATGAATCACAAGCGTTTTCGTGGAGAATAGAAATAACATATAAGCAGATGTCTGCTTCACACGTGCGCCTGTTCCGCGTGAACGCACAAGTATATCCTGCACGTTCATGTTGTTACTTGTATTCTCCACAACGACGCCAATGATGAGTATTTTGAGTTGAGTTGTTACCTTATACATTGAGTCAAACTAGGAACGCCGTAGCGTACAGCGAGCGAGGGTCCTTGCCTCCTGTAAGGTGGAGGGCAACAGGCCTCGCTCTACTGATGAGACACTGCGTGTCGAGACCGCTCCACAGAATTGCTTGGCTTGAAGCAATGCTGCTGATATTTTGTGCATTCCCAGAATGCCGCGCGGCTGATGGGATGCGTAATAAATAGTTGCGCCGTTTTGTCTACGTGGAGATACGCATATGGAGTTGTGTTTGTTTCGTCTGGAAGTGCCTTTCCTACTCCAGCTAACGTTGCAGTGGTCTTCCATGCACACGTGCATGCCCAGGTTTCAATACCCTCTGTTAATTCTGCCGATGACGGCCACTTGTTCACCCTACACAGGATGTCCACGTTCCACTTCACCCTGCCTGTACAGCGTCCCAGCATGCCGCTACAATTCGACATCAATCCAGTGGACCAAATCGCATCGTGCAGACAGTGCCGGTCGGTGGCAGGGTGACACGAGTGTTTACACTCACAGCAATAAGGGCCTCGGTTAGACTCTCGACTGGGGTGGCTTTCAGCAGGGAGTTTGTACGTTCTCCCCCTGTTCTGCATGCGGTTTCATCCCCCGTAGAAAAAAAAAACACATGACGATGTAACTGGTATTGGCCACATCCCCACAGACGCAACATCGCCCCCCGCTGCGAAAACTCGGCGGAGTTTTCCAGGCTAAACCAGCGTACAGTACAGTAATAAACACAATTATAACACAAATTATGGCGCCACGTGGCGAGATGTTAACCACCTCGCCTGGTATGCAGGAGGTCGTGGGTTCGACCCCAACCGTGACGGCTGCTGTGTATTTTGAGTTCGCATGTTCTCCCCGTGGTCGCGTGGATTTTTCTCCGGGTCTTCCGGGTTTTTCCTCCACATTCAGAATCAACATAACGCGTTTAGAGTATTTGACTGCTATAAATGGCCACACGTTGATAAGTCACTTCGTTGAGCTATCATTTGTGGCCTGGTCGCTTCTGCAAAAAATACCTATACAGTATAGCTCACTGGGCCTTACCAGGTAAAAAAAAAGTAACGTTTTAATTGAATACCCCAACTCTTATTTCCACCAGGCGCCGTGTAACACCACGTGCAGCCGGGCTGTGGCGCTGCTGAGCCCATCCCTTGCGATTCCCCCCCCCACCACAACCCCGGCTTCCCACCATCTCCGAACTTCCGTTGCTAAGAGTGGCCCCTTTGAGCAGAAGCTCACAGACAGCGCAATGGGTTAGCCCCGCAATATTGACAGGGACTGATCCGTCATTTTACACCGACAGCTGTCCATGAGATCTTCAGATCGTACTTCTTTTATGTACTGCGAAGTCACGGCTCTGTTCATGTAGGGCTGCTCGGGCTTTTGCCAGTGCAGCTCCCAAGCTTTGGAACAACACTTTGCCTTTGCTATTAAGAGAGTCGTGAGCCATTTCTGAGTCGTGTTTTGAACGCTCACCTCTGTAAACTGCCCTTTACCCCCGCGAGTTGTGGCCGTTTACCCAGCAGGTTCTGTTTATTTCCTGCTTTCCATGCACGGGGCGCTTTGGGATTTACGGATGAAATTCGTCACTTTACACATGTAAATTGTTATTATTAGTGCTCCAAGTGGCTCAGGGGACTCCCGATCCATGGAATTAATCGGGGATGCTTCAAATATCCGCTTAAAAATCAAACCCTAATACACCGTATAATTGTCATAAGCCAACGATTCTCCCACCTCTAGGCTGCGTCTCTCATCTATATTTGTCGACACATCGCTCATTTCACTACATCCCTTGTCTGCATCTCTTCTGCTATCACACCTATAGGTGTTTAACAGGTGAAAGGGTGGCCCCACAAATAGCCAATTCCACCGACGTGTCCCCAATGGGCAAACAACGCCGACTACCCACGGATCTCATTCCCAGGGCAAACTGCCCCATCACTTATTCCCTCCTTCCTCGTCGTCTGCTGTGCTAAGTCCCTGAAGGTTCAGCTCTCCACTTCCCCCACCACCGCCACCCATAAATTGTTTGTGGTCAAAATATTGGTAGGATGTTTATACTTTATTTACCCTGTATAGCCTCACGAAGTCTCAACTCTTTTTCAAGAGGGTCCTGCCCCACCCCTGCTGTGATAAAGAGCTTTATTGCTCATCGAATTCCTCCACTATAATTCGCAGTCGAGCACGACGTTGCCATGTGTAATCCCAATTGAGTAATTTGATTTTTTACACTTGGATATATTTGGCCAACACCAGTTACATTGTTAACACCAGTGGGTGGGTTTCCATTAGCTTATCCTCACATATATCACCAAGCACTCCAATCAGCACGACTCACAATCCTACCCAGCACCAAGGGACCGGACACCCTCACTGCCGGGCATCGTTTTTCTCCGTGGCCAACCTCCCCCGTCTGGAACGCTGCCATCATCGTCATCCCGCTGTTACTGCACATTCACAGCAGCAGCGTTCAATTTCTACAGACAAAACACATTTGAAAAGCTCACGGGGTTCTTAAAGGCTCCACCTTTCGCTTGGCTTTTCAGCGACCAAGAGCCTGACTTCTCGCTATGAATCACGGGGTCATTTAAGCCCGTGTAATATGGCGTGCGCATTACAAATTGCCTCATTACTCCATACATATATCCCTCCTGACCATGTCCACATGAAAATAACGCAATGGCTTACCTTTACAGAAATGCAATTGTATGCAATTTTATTCAAATATACACAACGTATATACATGGTGTACAAGTGGACGTTAAGGTTTGCGTGCGCGCGTTTAACACCGCGGCCATCTCGAGTAGCGACGACCAAGCGCGGGTTAAAATAAACCGCTACCCACCACGGGAGGGGTGGCAGCAACTGAGGGGAGAACGTCATCCAGCAGTGGATTGACCATGGCTGATGGTGATCGTGACCTCAATTCCCACTCCGTCATTAGTCCGGTGGCAGGACCCAGAACTAATCAGCACCACCAACTACCAAACAGCTGTTTGCTAGAAAATAGTATTCTTGGCAGAGTAGTGATTTATGCACTGCACAATGAACCCTGTGACCCCTGCCCCCCACTGCTCAGAACCCCAGTGTAACCCCTGAACCAGGTCGCGTGGAAATGGCCACTCACATTCCCGTGTGCCGTGCCGGCCGTCATTGGTGTCGCGAACAACGCTTGCCCCAAAAGTCTGTTAAGGCTATAAGGGGTGTATCTGATTTTTTTTGTCTATGTGTGCAATGTGAGATGTGGATGGCTCTGTGTGTGTGTTCACAAGTACACAGCAGTGGTTTGTGCACAATTGTGTGTAAGTGTGCATGCACACACAGGGGGAGTGGGGGGGGCACAAGTGTTAACATGCAGTCAGGATTGGTTGGAAAATCCCAGCAGCTTCTCCACCGGCCGGAAGCGCCACTCATCTGCCTCCAGCTCTTCCGCTAGGCGCGCCAGCTTCAGCAGCCGTGCGCAGTGTTGCTCTACAGAGGTGGCACATGTCATGGGGTCAACAGAGCACAGGGGAAGGGGGTCGCCAGGGAATGGGTTAACAGGGAATGGGGGGAATCACGATATAAAATGTGACGATTCACTATCTCAAAGATTGAACGTAATCCTTATGCTTACGACACATGCGTAAGAAGAATTATACAGTAATAGGTTTTACCCTATTAACTGGCACAAAAAACTGACACCTTTATTCAAGGCATCATGTTTGCAACAACCACAACACAAGCAGTCAAAATGCAAACAAAAGAGACAACTCGGATAATAATATGCACTGTCCTTGAATTTGATTGGTCCACACTTGAGACGGCTTTTCTTAGAGCCTAGTCTCCACTGGTGTTGGACCAGAAGACGCCAAAAGGCGTACAACTCAAAAACAGCGCACTATCAGAGTATTGAGGGCTCGGGGTGAGCAGTTACATTATGAGACCTCCTTTGCCAGTAACAAGATATAGTAATAGGTTTTACCCTTTTAACTGGCACAAAAAACTGACACCTTTAGCCTCTTTTGTTTGCATTTTGACTGCTTGTGTTGTGGTTATTGCAAACATGATGCCTTGAATAAAGGTGTCAGTTTTTGTGCCAATTAAAAGGGTAAAACCTATTACTATATCTTGTTACTAGCAAAGGAGGTCTCATAATGTAAATGCTCACCCCGAGCCCTCAATACTCTGATAGTGCGCTGTTTTTGAGTTGTACGCCTTTTGGCGTCTTCTGGTCCAACACCAGTGGAGACTAGGCTCTAAGAAAAGCCGTCTCGGGTGTGGACCAATCAAATTCAAGGACAGTGCATATTATTACCAGAGTTGTCTTTTGTTTGCATTTTGACTGCTTGTGTTGTGGTTATTGCAAACATGATGCCTTGAATAAAGGTGTCAGTTTTTGTGCCAGTTAAAAGGGTAAAACCTATTACTATATCTTGTTACTGGCAAAGGAGGTCTCATAATGTAAAAGAATTATACATATTGAGATTTATTTACGAATCGTTATGGAATCAAAGCATTACGAGTTCAAGTCCCGGTGTGGAGAAAACACTCAAACGATCATCCACGTGGAGTCAATGCAATAAGCATCAACACATTCGAGGTGCCCAGGTGGCTCCAGGTCAGAGTGCCGAGTCCGCACTGGGTACTGAATCCCACAGACAGCCGCCTCTGATTGAACGAGCTTGTCGAGTGGAGGGAAGTTGATGGGCCTCAGCCTGGTCACCAAAGTACTGCACACAAAATAACCCACCACTCATAATCTGGTTCTGTATTGAATTTCAGTAATATTACAACCAGCCTTAAATGGATTATTCATGTCGTGGTATGACACCAGTCGTACATTTGGGACCAAATTTGGAAGATACATTTTAATAAAGGTGATATTTTACACAGTTGTTAATCGTAGTTGTCCTTTGGAGAAATTAGCCTTAGAGGAAAATTGAATTTCCAGCATTGGCTCAGCGTTCATTTGAGCATTGTCAGAGTTGTGTGTCAGGGTTATGGTTAGAGTCAGGCTTAGATGAGAATCAAGATGGTTTAGGGTCAGTATGAGGATTGGAGTTAGGGTCTGGGGTAGTGTAAGCTTTGGGTCAGGGTTGAAGTCAGGGTAACAGCACGTACCTCGGTTCATCTCGCGCTGCGTGTGTGCAATCTGGTAGTTGAAGATCATGTCGCATAGAACCTTGTCCGACACATCTGAAGGGGAGCGGGATGAAGGTCGTCAGTTGCACTAACACACAAATACCCGTGCATGTCCACGCTAAACACAGAGGCACCATTACAAGCAAACCATGACCCACAAACAATTCACGTGCGTGTGTGCAATCTGGTAGTTGAAGATCATGTCGCATAGAACCTTGTCCGACACATCTGAAGGGGAGCGGGATGAAGGTCGTCAGTTGCACTAACACACAAATACCCGTGCATGTCCACGCTAAACACAGAGGCACCATTACAAGCAAACCATGACCCACAAACAATTCACGTGCAAAAAAACCACGCAACCTTGGTCTCATCTCAAGAGTTGATGTTGACGTAACGTGAAGTACCAGGTCTGCTATTTTAAACTGAGTTCACCATCAACTTAATTTCACCAGGTAGGAACCCAAGGCGATTGTTGCATTTACGCAGCGCCTAAGTGCGCTGGCACCGCAAGACGCTTTACAATGACAAACAATCTTTTTAAACTAAGTTGGAATAGAGGGAGGGGCGAAGGGGGTGGAGGCATGGGGGTGGCGATCGGGCCTGGCAGGTCAGCACCAATGAGTCCCAGGACACCCTTAGGGGTCACCCACCAAACGAGTCCCAGGTTTAGATACGAAACTGGACGGTCGGTGGTGGTGATGGGATTCACAGCCAGGAGTCGAACCTAGGTTGCGGGGATCATAGCACTGCGTTATAAACTATCTGTAATGTCGCGAACCGGTTCATGATGACACTAGTACTTTACACACACACCTGTCACGCTAGGATGCGGACATCTATAGAAGTACTGTACACACTCCAAACAGCGTGTACACCTCATACACCCCCACTCACACTATGCACCAACACACACACAACCCACACCATACACAGCCTCATCACACAAGCACAACACACACCAAACATTTTAACACGTAGGCTTTTTATACAGTTCGCATATCACGCAACGCACAGAACACATTACACACTCCCCACACACCCTCTCAAGACTCTGGTTACGCCTGATCCTATCAGCACTCAGAAGCTAAGCAGGTTGGAGCATGGACTGTCTACTTGGTATGGGTGACAAGCAATCGCACACAAAAACACGTGGGGTGGGCAAGCAGAGCATACTGTATAGTACTATACCCATACATTGTTGTTCCAATACGTAATCCACATTCACTAATCCGCACTGACCCAGAGTGGTAAAGTATGGTTAGAGACGCCTGGCGTGGGGATAGTGGTGGTGTCACCCCTGATGGTGTGGTGGTGGTGGTTCCAACCCTGATGGTGTGGTGGTGGTGGTGCCACCCCTGATAGTGTGGTGGTGGTGTCACCCCTGATGGTGTGGTGGTGGTGGTGCCACCCCTGGCGCTACCCTTAGGTGCCGGGTAGGGCGTCGCCGTCTTCCCCCGCGTCGCAGCCTCCAGATCGGCCATGGTCACCGCGCAGGAAGTGACGCTACGTCACGTCCTGTGAAGGGGGGGGGGCTTTGCAGGGGGAGGGGCTCGAGAGGAGAGGGAGAGGGACTGAAGTGGGAGAGGAGGGAGGCAAGACAAAGACAAAGATCCCCCGTGTAGCCTTCTCAGACTGTTGGGGCAAGTGCTGTGAGCGAGCATATTTGAAGGCCGGCACGGTACACGAGGGGGTGGGTGGCCAACAGCAACGCCCGGCCGCCTTTGTCTCCCTAGTAGCAATGTTTTTATACGCTGCAACAGGTACCCATTTGGGGCTGAGTCGACCTAGGGGAGGTCCCGGACCGGTTCAGATAATCGTCACTGATGCTGGCCGTGAGCGGGAATCGAACTCGGGCCACCAGGGTTACGCCACATCAGGAATCCCACCATACCAGGGTTCCGCCACACCAGGGTTCCGCCACACCAGGGTTCTGCCACACCAGGAATACCGCCACACCAGGGTCCCCGCCACACCAGGGTCCCGCCACACCAGGGTCTCCGCCACACCACCAGGGTCCCGGCACACCAGGGTCTCCGCCACACCAGGATTACGCCACACCAGGGTCCACGCCACACCAGGGTCCCCGCCACACCAGGGTCCCGCCACACCAGGGTCCCGCCACACTAGGATCACGCCACACCAGGATTACGCCACACCAGGATCACGCCACACCAGGGTTCCGCCACACCAGGGTCACGCCACACCAGGGTCTCGCCACATCAGAGTCACGCCACACCAGGGTCTCCGCCACACCACCAGGGGTCCGCCACACCAGGATTCCGCCACACCAGGATCACGCCACATCAGGGTCCCGCCACATCAGGGTACCGCCACACCCTTTCAAATACCACCACCCATCTAACAGCACCCACCATGGCAGAAGGTTCCCCACACCGTCACCTTGGCTGGCACGTGCTGGGGATGCTAACGAGTGAGTGAGGGTTACCGATCGACGTCGCTTGGGGTCACTAGAGGGTCGCCGATCACCCGCAACAACACAAGTCTCCCGCGACACAGCAGCCAGCGCGGTGAAGTATGGCCAAACAAACAGCCATGTCGGGACAAAGTCCCTGGAGACGAACTTCATCCCATGGTGGATCGACAAAACGGCTCCGATTTTTCTTTGTTTCACCACAAGCCTCCATCCACGCCAGGGACTTTGTTTCACCACAAGCCTCCATCCACGCCAGGGACTCTGTTTCACCACACGCCTCCATCCACGCCAGGGACTCTGTTTCACCACAAGCCTCCATCCACGCCAGGGACTCTGTTTCACCACACGCCTCCATCCACGCCAGGGGACTTTGTTTCACCACACGCCTCCATCCACGCCAGGGACTCTGTTTCACCACAAGCCTCCATCCACGCCAGGGACTCTGTTTCACCACACGCCTCCATCCACGCCAGGGGACTTTGTTTCACCACACGCCTCCATCCACGCCAGGGACTCTGTTTCACCACAAGCCTCCATCCACGCCAGGGACTCTGTTTCACCACACGCCTCCATCCACGCCAGGGACTCTGTTTCACCACACGCCTCCATCCACGCCAGGGACTCTGTTTCACCACACGCCTCCATCCACGCCAGGGACTTTATTTCACCACAAGCCTCCATCCACGCCAGGGACTCTTTCACCACACGCCTCCATCCACGCCAGGGACTCTGTTTCACCACACGCCTCCATCCACGCCAGGGACTCTGTTTCACCACACGCCTCCATCCACGCCAGGGACTTTATTTCACCACAAGCCTCCATCCACGCCAGGGGACTCTGTTTCACCACACGCCTCCATCCACGCCAGGGGACTTCCAAACCGGCGCCCGCAGTCTCACCACACCTCTTTCGTTTTTGCTTTCGGTAAAGTCACGTACACAGAAAATAATAAAATAAAAAATAATTATCTCCGCCTGATGAGATCATTATTTGTGTTGTGATCGAAACGTCGTGAGTTTTTGGTTTTTGTCATTTTTATTTATTTAATATTTTTATTTTATTATTTTATATCTAAGTGACTTTACCGAAAGAACCAGAGAATATGAATTCCTGCAGTCACAAAAGTTAAGTCAAAAGTATCACTTTGTTGGGTAAGTCAACGTAATGGTCACGTGGATAAACTCGCCCCCGCCATAGGAATGTGGAATTTTGGCCACTGGCTCAAGGTTATAAACAGGAGACAAGCACCAATGCATCAATGCTGAGAAAAAACACACACAAATTCACGTTTATTCTCGTGATAGTATACATCAACACGTTCACATGTATACGTTAATGTAAACACATTAATACAAAGACAATAATGCGTACGAGAAGTAATCAACATTGTGTCCCGTGGGGCCCCGAGGCGCCGTGAACACCAACAGTGAGAAACGATCGGTGACGTCGGAGCCCAGAGGTAGGGTTGGGGTCAAGGGTCAGCAACCTGCGGCTGCGCTGCCGCATGCGGCTCTTTGAGGACTGCTTTGTGACACCGTTATTTATTCAGGACCACCACCGTCTCGTATTCATGTGGCATTGCGACTCATGACACGTTAAGCTTTTAACCGAATTCGAAAGAATGGCTCTTCTTACAGATAGGGCGAGTGCTTGGATTTGGGGTCAAGACTCGTCTCGGATTGGTTAGTTTTCAGAAAATAGAATTCGGGCGATTGTCCGAATGGCGAGTGAGGGTTGTTGTACTGACCAGGTAAGGCCCACTGAGCTATGTGGCTCTTTTTCAAAGGAGACCTGCCCACAAATGATAGCTCAACGAAGTGGCTTGTTATCGTGTAGAAATGTACAACAGCTAAATACACTCTAAACGCGTGTTTTCTAAATGCGAAGGGAAAAAACCGGACGTCCCGGAGAAAAATCCAGGCGACCACGGGGGGAGAGAGACACGGCGAACTCCAAACATCCAACAGGCCTCAAGGGTCGGGATCGAACACACGACCTGTTGTAGACCAGGCGAAGTTCTCGCCTGTGGTCTGCAGGTATGCCCCGTGGCCGGGATCGTGTTAGAATGGCTAGTTTGTTAGGGTGAAGGGTACGGGTAGTGTGTGCTCTGCTGGATTGTTCCAAGGCGCGGGTTAGGGGCTCGCGTGTGGTCCGGGTGTCAATTTCGTCAGCGTGCGAGGTTCGCCCCTCCCCGCCCCCTGCTCCTCGTTCTCCGTCCGGTGGCACGGCGCTCGTCGTGAGCGTCATCAAGTGACGCCGACTGCCGCTGTGCGTGTGCAGCCTGCCGCTTCATTACCCACGTCAGGCTCACAGCCCCCCCCCACCCCGGGCATAAATTACACGCCGCTACGCACCCCCTCCTCCGCATTGCCGATCGCGAACCTCTGAGGACATCAGGCCATGCGATCAAACAGCCGCTAGCCCGTGACAGCACCATCATCATCGGAAATGGGAATTCGTGTCTAAATACGATCGCACCGATGGCTTCATTTCTCGCTCCACATTCCCCCGGAACGCTGCATGCTCGCTTGGAGTCTCGTGGTAATCGGCGTGAGGTGGTACGGCGAGAGTTACAAGGTAGACCCATCCTTAACAAACCTCCGATATTATTGTACCGTATATGTTTGTACCCGAATAATCCTATAATGATCAAACGAAGATGAGGAGATGGATGTGGCATGGTCAAAGCAATTGCCGGAAGAGCGTTCCGGACTGTTCCAGCTGAAAAGTAAGCATTGATCGTACCTAAACGAACATGATCATCACCACCACCACTACACCATTATCGCATCATCATCAACACATCCCAATGTCAACATTATCAGCACCACACCATCATCAGGATCACCATCGTAATCATCACTGTGACCATGACCACCATCATCATCATGGAACATCAACCTCAGCAAACACCAAGCAACGGGGACGACTTGTTGGTGTCGTGAGTCGCCCTCCAATGAGTGACAAGCAACGATGGACCCTGAACCCATACGTATGACCCTGTTAGGGACCCGTAAATCTACATCTGAATCCTTGTTTAGGAACCCATGAATCCCTCTAAAGGATTGATGAACCCCCACTCAGGAACCCAACAATAACCCAGGAATCCCCTTTGGGGACCCAGGAACTTCTGTTAGAGTCGTACATTAAGGACTTATAAACCCCTGGCTATTGAACAATGAACTAAGGTACCCATGTTCCCGTGTTATAGGGACTCGTGAACCCCTGATTAGTGACCCATCAGCGCCATAATCAGGCCTGGGACATGCGAGGGTGGCGAGTTGCACGTGCAAGCCGCCGGAAGCGGCATCTTCATCGTCCACCTCGCCCGTCATCTCAGCGGGCCTCGCCGCTGTCACGTGACCACCTCGTCGTGTTTTATAATCTCCATCACTGAACACGGGACACACCGCATCCCCACCCCCATCATCGGGGAGCGGTCTCGGCACGTCCGACAGGGCAGCGGTCCAGCGTGGTTGGCATGGAACTTGGCGCAAGGAATGAAATGGCCCACCCCGCCCCCCAAGCGGTCCCACCCCCCCTCCTCCCTCTCCTCCTGCTGCCCCCCCCACCCACCCCCCTCTTCGTAGCCCGGCGACTGGGCCTTCCAGTCCGTGGGCCCCGTGCAGGTGCACCGCCTGCGCACTCGATAGCTACGCCACTGCCGAACAAGTCCGGATCCTCCACGCCGATCCACCATGGCGTTGAGTCATCGACAAAGCCCGGCTCAGAATCACCATCTTCCTGACTCCGGAATCCTCGGCGCCAAAGTCGGAGGCGGCATTGACGGGAATCGTGGCGGGTCACGACCCCTGACCCCTCGCGCTCTTCTGGCCCACGCGGAGGTGTCGGGTCAATCCCGGCAACCCCCCACAGAGTGTGGTGGTGGGGGGTGCCCCTCACCATCCACAACTTCGGGCCCCCCCTAGTCGCACTACTGCAACGACTGTATGGCCGTTACGCGGTGGATCCAAGCGATGTAACGCGACACGCGCGTGTACACGCCGGGGGAGTCGCGCTCCCCACAGCCGTGGCCCCACGACGTCACCGCCGCCACCACCCAGCGGCCCCCCCCACCTCCGCCGCCGGGGGGGGCGTCCGCTCCCCG